GCCTAATCTTTTAATAGTCTCTCCGCCTCTCACACACCTCCCGATGTGTCATCCCAATGGAGCCGAGATTTAATGACTGTACCCCGCAGGGATGACGCATGGGGAGGCGTGTGAGAGGCGGAGAGACTATTAAAAGATTAGGCGGTTTTCCTTTCATGTACGTCCGCCATATTTAGTTTGTGGCTTTGTAGAGCCATGGCTCAACTCGATGTGAATGCGGTCTCTGTCTCCACACACACACACACCATAAAATGGATTAAATCTCAGCCTCAAGTTTAAATTGGCAGTCTCTGTAGCCTGAGAAGGCCTCTATGGTGAAGCTACTGGATATCTTACACCATATCGTATGGGAGGACCTCTCAAAATACCGCCAAAGGTGGATCTCTAAGACATTATGAATGCTGTTTTGTTCTACTCACTGAAGTGCTCTTATGTTCTACTCACTGAGTAATGGCAGTCCCTGAGAAAGTGGCTTCCATGGTGAAGCTATTGGATATGCTGTATTGCCTGTACATCACCACACGTCCTGTGGCCTCCTTGCAGCGACGAATGTGAAACTTGCACGAGTTGAAGAAAAATTTTCCTGAAGCCTGGCAAGAATGGAATTCAAAACAACTTATGATTAATTCAATAAAAAAAAATTCAATATAAATAAATATATATATAATATATATATATATATATATAAATAAATACAAGGGGGCTAATGCTGAATAAATATTTCTCATTTAGAGAGTGTACTCTTTACTAAACAAGTTTTTCCTATATAGTACTCTTTAACAAAACACACCTTTTTTTAACAAAAGACCAGGTAGATGAGCATCAAACAAATTCTCTCAAGGCATGGGAGCAGCATTTTGTTTGGGATTAAAAACTAACATACCTTATTAGACATGAGCCATGGCAGCATCCTCTCCTGAAGGAATGCTTTCATGTTGGCTGCATTTTCTGGATTGCTACAGCCGTACATGAACACATTAGACTTCCGACTGTGTCCATGTAAATCACAGTATATAAGAATCTGAAAGCAGAGATTTGATTAGTAATACTAACAGTTCATTGGACTTCCGACTGTGTCCATGTATATCACAGCATATAGGAATCTGAAAGCAAAGAATTTAAGTGCTACAGTTCATATATTATTATAACAATAATCTATTTCATTCCTATATTCAGCTTGGGAACTTTAAACTTTTGTCCAATTTTGAAAGCTCCATTGAAGAGACAATAAATTCAACTAGTCTTTTAACTATTAAACTCCCAATTAATCAGGAATTACCTCATTTTTGAGGGCGACCTCTGCCATCATGGCCTTGGTATGCCATACTGTGGGGAAGCTCTCGCGACGCGGGTGGCGGTAGTTACGATTCAGATCTCTAGCTCCTAGAGAGCACCTATAGTTTCCTACTATCACTCCGTCTATGTTGAGCATTGGCACAATTTTGAAAATAAATTTGTTTCGAAGTTGCTGAAAATAAAAAATTTAAATGTTATCATCAAACACAATATAATATTTTAATTAACAAAAAAATCATTTTGATCTTAAACATACAACACTTTGAGAATGTATATAATTAAAATATATTAAAAAAAGAAAAGATTTGGCATCATTATGCCAAAATGTTCCAAAGGTGCTAAGTCAGTTCTATAATCACCAGAAAAGAATAAACCTCTTGTAATTTTAATTCTGCAATCCACACCACTTACTTTGGCAACAGAGTTTGAGCTGGTGATAAAATCTATCACCCCCTTCATCATCCAGCTGGCATTGGACTCCCCTGGGTGAACCCTGGCGGTGATGATCACTGCTTTCTTCTCAAAGTCATCTTTATCTGATACAAAAACAAATCTCATCATCATAAAAAAAAAAAAAAAAAAAATCCTATCTTATTTGTGGCTAATCAAACCAAAATATTTGTCGTCTAATAATATTTGAAACAAATCAATTTTTTCTTCCTTATTCTATCATTCTTCTTCTTTTTTTTTTAAATCAGTATTCACTTATTTCTAAACATATTTTGGAATTTATGACAAAAAGAAGCCTGGCTTGAAAAATTTGGTGCCAGCATTTTAAGATGCAGTTAATGGCAACCACTTACCAAAGTTAGTGACAGTGAGTAAAAAGCAACTGTTCCCAGCCCTCGTCTCACACATGACTTCTCGTTTGACAACCCTTGACCTCTCTGGGTCAGATATAAGTAGGTCAAGGTCATCCTTCAGATCTGTGAAGGTATATGGATAGCAGTGGGCAAGATAGCAAGTGTCTTCACCATGAGGAAATTCCTGAAATTAACGAAGAAAATTCTATTAATAATTATAAAAACTTAAAATTACGAAATAAATATATTATTTTATCAAATACCCCACTTCCTCTCTACCCTTATTACTTTTATAGGCTTAACTACCTGCCCATGCAGTCATTGTTCCTCCTTAAACTTTAAGAAAATTCCAGGATTTGTTATGATACGGACATCATATTTAAAAATATAAAGATAAAAATTATGATTTTTAAAAACTGAATAGCCTTATGGTTTTAGACAAATTAGATTTTAAGGTAAATCAATGATATATTTATCAAAAAATGTTTTGAAGCCAAATTAGAATATTTTTAGCATACGGCTATGATTTACTATAACAGAGCAAGCCGAGTTGCTTGTATATTACTCACAATCTCAAACTCCAGTTCATAGTAAATGAGTTCTCTGTGCAGTAGTGGACACTGGACATGTTTATCATTTCTGTAGTAACTGGATGAAAAAAGAAAACATATTAAGTAAAAGCTTATGTCGTCATGAAAACATACACAGCTTGCAATGCTTATCATCAGTACAAATGAACTTAAGTTCAGATTTAGTGTCAGATCAGTAAAACTTTGGTATTTTAAAGGCACTAACTAGTCATTCTTAGGATCAGTGAGACATGTAGATAGTCCATGCTAATCTGCGCGACCAGTGGGCTGAAGAAGTCCAAGTTACAGGCTAATGTATTGACTCATAAATTTTAAGAGAATAAGGTTAATGTATTCAAAACAATTTTTAAGAGGATAAAAATCTTTTAGTCAATTCAAGTTTTTTCCATAGCTAAAAGCTCTGTTGTGTACCTGATATTGTGTCCTGTCCTGTACCAACCTATACCTTCTGATGCTGCCTTGGTCTCTGAGTACAACAATGGACGCATACCTGGAACATAATTCAAAATAATTGAATAAATTGAATAGATAATATATACATAATACATTCATCTATTTTCTGTATGACAGGTATATTGTCTGCTGAATTATTAAATAAAATTTACTTCCAAACAACTCACCAGGATTATACATTATTATATACCTCTTCCACAGGTTGGTTATCCTCAACTTGAACCCCCAACCCCCCCCCCCCTTGTAACCCTGTCAAACATATGTGTACACAAACACCACAACCATACAATATTTTTCCAATGATGTAGTACCTACTTCTCCTAAGTCACATTATATAGTATACATTACCCCCCTCCCCCCCCCAAACACTTACCATGATTATATAAACTGTCTCTCTTCAACAGGTTGGCTATCCTCAGTTTATACACTACTCCTGGCACCATACTCTTCACCCTGAAGTAGTACCACTGAGTGTGGTACCCCCAAACACTTACCATGATTATATAAACTGTCTCTTTTCAACAGGTTGGCTATCCTCAGTTTATACACCACTCCTGGCACCATACTCTTCACCCTGAAGTAGTACCACTGGGTGTGCCGCTTGGTGTACAGATCTGTCTTCAGCACCAATTCATATTCAAACTGACCACTGAAATATCAAGTTGGTATTTGAGTATCATACTAACCATTTAAGTAATAAAAAAACACACACAAAAAAAGGATGCACTTCCACATAATTTATGTACTAAGCTTTGCTTAAAAAATTTCCTTACCAATAACCACTTTACAAAGCATATTATAAAATAAGTATTAAAGAACAATAAGGAAACATCACAGTTCACAGCAGAAAACTGGTACATGAGGAATATACAACAGTCTCATGACTGTCACATGACTTACACTCTCCTGGCCTGGCGTAGGTTACCACACTCAAATCGAGACTCAAATGTGAGACTAGGACAACACCCCTCTGGCACGCGGGGCTGTGCATAATCACGTGCACTCTTCTCGGAGTCAAACACGATCTGTATCCCCCTCCAGTTCCCTGTGTACGGAGTTTGCTGAGTGTCTACGGATTTGTTGGCTGGGACTGGAAAAGAATTCTTTTATTTATTTTTTTTTTTACACATTGGCATTTATATTTTTCATCATGTATTATAACTAATAATCTATATGTACTCAAATAAACATTTTAATATGTATATATATATTTTTTAAATTGAATTATACAATTAATATCAATGGGAAATGTAAAGTGAATGTTTCAGTTACAAATGAAGGGATTTTTTCTATTTTTGATTGTTTAACTATTATAATCCGACAATAACATAATTATGAAATACATATTAGTAGACAAGAACATAAAATAACAGAAATATGGTAAAAATTTTTAAAAAAATTGCAAGCTATCATCTGAAAAGAACATGAAATGTATATCAATAAAGCATGGAAATGGAAACTGAAAATAATGAAAAATTGATGCAGATTAATAGTAATTATACAGTAACACAAAGAATTATATTAATTTTCATTTTGTTAATTAGTCACAGCAAAATAATACCAATAACCCTCCTGAAGCTACAAGCAATGCATGTTACTTTCCCAAAACTTAAACAGCAAGTTTGCTATTTCTCTCTTAATGATACAGGTGCTGTTGATTCCAATCTCTAACCAACCCAGTATCCCCCACCGTCCACCCACAGTATCACTTACCATCATATTCCAACTCAGTCCACAGCGGCTCCTCAAATGGCGGTGGTGTCCTAATGTGCCGCGTTGTCTCTAACACCACATTCTTATAGTTATGAGGCCAGTAAGGTCCATAAGGCCAGTACTTAAAATCAGGAGGAGGGCGTTTAAATTTTGTCAGAAATCTCTCGAGCTCCTCAGAGTATTTGAAGAAGGTGCGGTACCATTCTCTTGTCTGGATGCCCACCGCCATGACTGGATAACCGGATACTCTGTGGTACTTATCCGTTTTAGTTCATGTTAGTAGAAGTGCATGGATATATATCCATCTAGTCAGTAAGCATATTAAGTGCTATGTTATTCCTTCATTCATGGTGGACAGTTTGCCTTGACTATGTCCTGCAAATTGCACATATAAATACAATACACATTTCAAGGTACCCTTAATACAATTGTAGTGCCATGTCTACTGACACATTTCTTTTATGATCTTGTATGTACCACGTTAATTTAACAGGCTTTATAGATATAATCTTTTTTCTTCTCATGTATCCAGATCACTGTCAACCCAATTTTAGACTTCAATTGACTAATAATATCAAGTCCATTTTACCTTATAATGACAATATATATATATGCCTGCAATTGTACTAAAGCGTTGTTTTGGCCAGGCCCCTTGTGTTTTTGAGAAGTGCCTGACATTACACACAACAGAGGAAGAGGCATTCACTGGAAAATAGGCTCACTAGATACCTTTGAAAACTGAGTCCTGATATTATAAGGCAAGTCCTGTTTACATCAGCCCTAACTTAGCACAGATATTGACTAACCTGAATCAGCACCGTCTGAAGTAAATAAGTGTGCATTTTATGTAAGAAGACAGGTCTCAGATAATAAAATTCAACATCAATCAACCTTGTATCTTCTGGTGTAGAATACCACAGGTTTGAATAGATATGTTGTATCAGATGTAATTTGGCCACAGGTGTGAACAGACCCAATGAATCTGTTTCATATGATCCGTAACTCATCTAAATACTACCAGCATGTCTCCCCCAATCTCATAACTCCTCCCCCAGTAATATCTTATGACTCAATCATTATTTGCAGCTTTTATTCACCAGCAATCTGATTATCTAGCGCCATTGGTAAATTCCTACTGCCACTGGTACTTTGGCTATTTTCAAATACGGAGGTGTCAAGTTATGCTGTATTGAATTAAAATAGGATTAAAGGGAAGTTAATAGAACCAGGTGTCTACCCATATCGATCCTGCAATGAACTGAAATGGGATCAAAAGAAAATTAAGTAATTTAATACTGAAAACTGATAAAAATGTCACTGATCATGACCTGATCAGACAAACAGATTCCAGGAATAATATTCCCCCAATAGGTAGATCTGAGAAATGCTACTCCACTTTACCTGATCTTCTGATGTTATCAATAAGATTATTTCTGGCCTAAGTCTAGAAGGTAGAGGGCATTCTTCAGATGGGGAGAAACTAATCACATCTGGTGCAATTTGATCTAGATTTGAGCACACAGACATTGTTATTTAGAAATGGTGTAGCAATTAAAAACACTCAAAATGTCTTTACAGTACAGATTTAATCTCAGTTTTGTTTCTATACACTTAATCTGACTGGACAATGTTTAGCACTAAGATTAAGATTCATTAACAATTATTGATTACTTCCATCATATTTCTATCATTCCTTTTTATTACAAGAATACCATGATGATGATTATCATAAATTAAATCTCTGATTATTTTAATGATTTACTTTATAGTTAGGACATATGTAATCTGTAATGCTCACATTTTCCCTTAATAAGGAAAACCCTTTGGCATATTTGTAGCAGAATCTAACTTTTTATCATATAGCTTTTCATTTAGCAGATAGCGCTTTGATGGCATTTCATCTTCCTTTTTCCTTTCAGTTCTTCTTGAAGCAGAAGATGATGGAGCAGACTTCAGAAAGTCACCACCCTTTTCCCTTTCATTTTTTCTTGAAACAGAAATACTTGTATTATCCTCTACAGATCCTGAGGAACCTACTGCCTGTGTTAATGCTAAATGATCTTGTGCAGTTGCAGTTCCCGTCAAATGTTCAGACTGGTTCCCAGATAAATCATCCTGCGATGATGGCTCTGCATTTTGGGAAATATTAGAGTCATCGTGATGTTTTCTCCGTCGCAAGGACGCAGATGTCACGTACAGGTGTGTCACATGCAAACGGCATATTTCAGTGTTATTGATTTTCTGCATGTAAGGAACAAGGATACTCCTTGTCCTGTCAGAACTACTGTGACAGTCGCCATCTTTAGTTCTCATTTCACTTCTGCTTGTCATGGCAACATCCCTGTCTTTCATGGCAACATCCCTATCTCTCATGACAACATCCCTACCTGTCATGGCAACATCCCTATCTGTTACACTGTTTTTCTCCATGCTATATTTCTCTTTTCCCACTGCCCCCTCAACTCCAGTCTTTTTCTTTGTTGTCACTTTCAAATCCTCAGCCTGTTTTTTCTTCCTCCCACTTCTACAAGTTGGATCAGTCTTTTCATCCATTGTACCAATTATTAACAATGATACCACATACGTTAAATTATAAATAATACAGTCTGTTAACCAAGATGGAGCAATTCACTAGAAGTTATACAAGTAGGTGCTCATTACGATTTTATACAATGAAACAATGGAGAGATTTCACTCCAACTTTAGATTTGGTATATAGTGACTGGAAGATTTCACTACAGCTTTTAATTCAGCATGCAGCCAATATTCCTATTTTTCTCAGCTTATGCAAAGCACATCAAGTCACTAGATACTACATCGATTTCTAATCAAATTATCAAGTTTCATGATAATCTCACAACCAGCAAAAATAGTCTTCACAAATGGTAAATGAAATGGAATAAGAGCTGCAGCAGGCTAGAATCAGGAATCAATGCAATACTGTTCAAAACAGAAAAGTCAAAGGAAGAACTCCAGTTATATGGTCGATTGTAAAACCAAACTTGGATCAATTGTTACAGATTACATAGTGGTTTGATTTGCAAAATACAAAGAACAAACATATCCCCTTTCGGTTCAGGCTTGTAACTTGTCAGCATCAATCTTTTTGAAAATTGCGATCAAATCAGTTCTGGTGACAACTTGATTTTGGTGACATTTGTCATCAGTCACAGTGACAACATAATCAACAATGTTGGTGGGAAACCATAAGCAGAAAATGTGCACTTGAATTATTGAATAAGTAATGACACTGGTCTTAATTGTTTGATCAAAAGAGAGAAATGCATTGATCTAATGACACATGCACCTAAAAGTACTAGTATTATCCACTAAGTGACTTTCAAATATTTTTCTAAAATATTCTGTTTCAATTCTTCAATCAAAGGTTAAAAAAAATGCATGCCATGACATATGCATCAACATGTACAATCAACATTCAGATGACTCTCTTTCAATCATCAACATATTTCCAATAAAATTTCCAGATATTTGCAGATTGCTCCAGGTAAAATATATGATTTGAGCACCAACACAGGTGCAGTAGCCTCAGTCCACATGTGGTCTCTATTATCTTAGCTGCATCCAGTGTCAGATATGCCAAAACACATGGAAAGTTTGCCGTGGAGAGTGGTGTCCCAGAGACAGCCTGTCACTTACGTGTCCTCAGGTGGACTGTGATAAAGTTGTCAACTTTGGCACCTGGTGACAGCCAGCAGGTAAGACGTTCATGTCACACCCAATGAGAAAGTTTTATTATTATGTTACAGGGTGGGTGGTGGCATTGACGACGATGAGTGGATGGTGGAATAAGGCAGTCAATGGCTACTGTCAACTGCGCTTTTAGTGCATGTGTGTGTGTGCAGTCAATGAAAAACTGGCTTTTCATTTGAACTAAGATGACAATCAAGATGATTCACTGATACTTTTGATGATGATGAACTGTGAATTGACAGCTGTAGGCACTTTCCAATCACCGTCACACTGGTTGTTGATGACAAATTCTGATAGCTCTATCTTGAAAAAAAAAATCCACAAACACAGATGTGCTGAAGGCAACTCCCTGCAACACTGATAGTTGCAGACAAATTCCTGTGACTCTGACTTCTGAATAATTTCTTCAGTCCAGCAACTAAGGACTTCCAAATCTTCTTTCACAGCACAAACATGTATCTTTACAGCTGTAAATGCCCAAGTTAAGGAAATAACAGGTACATTAACTATTAGACTATTGGATGAATTTTATCTTAAGCCTTAAAGCTGCTGAACAATGACGAATAAGACTCACAAGCTTCGACTCTAATACGCTGTCAGGTAAATGTATTCCGTTCCTGTTAATACTGTATCCAGGATGCATCATATCCTGCAAATATCTTTCATAAATTAGACTGAAACTCCCACTGCCATTCTGGTAACTGTTACAACTACTTGTGGTCTGCTGCCAGTTCAAGTCCAATCAAGAGGACACTTTCAATCAAATTAAGATCACCATTTTATGGGGAAAAAATGCCATTTGTTGCAACAGGTCGGGCAGTCTACACATCAGTGTGGCATTGTTAATGTTGTCAAAGTCACGTCAGCACGTAGTGACAGTTTAATTTAACAGACATATCGCTCAAATGCTGCCATTTTCATAAGCTTAGACTGCTCAAAAATAATTATTTTTCCACTTTCCTTTCTAGTAAATAACTCTCAGTCACGTAAGTTTTGGGACACCTGCCTTCAGCACCTGATAAATCCCCAACATTCACAGATTAGATCTGAATGGTGAGTTTTTCATTAAAATTGACAGTCAATATCCCCAAGAATCCTCTACACGTACAAAGCCACTTCTTTCACATTTCTCTTCAGAAACCCAGTCTGCAAACCAGGTAATGTTTCTCATCAGAAGTCCCCAGGCATGCCTAATCCAGTGGACCCACAGATTAAGAAATCATAACAGCTTTCGCGTCTCACTCTCAGTTATCTCAACTCAAGAAATGCGGAAAGCTTTATACATTATCTTGGAGTATTTAAATCTATGAGGTAGCTTGGGATAATATGTCATTTTTCTCTCCCTGGACCCTGCTAACAATTACGTTCCATGTGTACCCAGCAAAACGGCAGAGTTGACTTTTCTGATTTATTCACCCAGTGGATTATTTGAGAGGATTTTCATCACTCTGCACCTATTACACTAACCCTTTACAAACCACCCCTTTCCAAAAATCAACTGGTATTATAGCCTATATACATGAAACCAAGCATGATGATGGGCCAAGAAGGGTTAATGTCAATATTCTCTTTATAAGTCAACACATTGCTAATGTATTCAAGCACATGTTTCCATCAATAAGTTTTAATTTGAAATTCTTGGTCTTTAAGTGCTCTCTGAATTGGCTATTAGGTGTACTTCATCTGGGATGCAGTGCCATTCATCTGGCTAACTAATTTGGAACTGTTAGTACAAATCAATAGTTTGAGTTGTGAATTGTGTGGTCCTATTTTGAATTGTATTTTAATTTAGTTTTCAAAAAGGGACTTTTGCTGTCAACATTCAAAAACAGATTTGTCACACCAAACAAAGGGCTTTTTTCCCTTAAATTTTGAAATAATCAAACTTTTACCCATAAGAATTATAAGTTTGTAACAACCAGGTTTTATACATCTCTGTGCTTAAATATTTTGTACCTTAAATATTTCACTTCATGATAAAAAATAAAAACCTAATGCTAATAGAAAAAACTTTAAACTTACACCACTTTTTTATAATTCAAAGAAATCATAGTAGATAGTATTTTTTCATTTTTATTGCATCTGCACAACTTCATTTCTTTAATAACTTGCATTTGCGGTAGTGAATTACAACTTAAATTTCTTGATCAGTAAGTGGCAGCAGACTAACAAATTAAACAAACCCCATGACAAGCACAACAAGTGATAATTAATATTCTTAATACTTAACCTTCTCCCAAAAGATTAAAATCATTTAGAAGCAGAATCTATCCCTACTGGTAACGCCTTCAATCAAATTTCAACTCCCCCATAAACAAAACCCTACCTTGGCCAGGGGTACCCGTCTTGTTTGTTTTTATCCTTAAGCGTCCTTTCTGGCTCATAAAATTCGCAATCACGTGCGGTAAGACTTCAGTGTTATGAATACATAGAGCAAATTGCTGCGGGATATCAACAGTGTGCTGTATTCATTATATTTGATCTCTGTGGCTTGGTAAATAAATCCCCCTAATAGACCAACAGTTTAAAATACATTGAGGATCTTGGTGGGAAACCAGATAAGAATTTCATGTGAGTCTGTGCTGGGTTTACCTTTTTGACCATGTTTCAAAAATATATCTTCCTGCTAGACCTACAGTTTAAAACACATTGAGAGATATCAGTGAGAAATCAGATAGGAATTTCATAGAAGTTTAAGGCTGTATCTGATTTTTCTTTTCTTTTTCCCCCTTTTTTTGTGTTACAAACTATGAAATAACTTCAGAATCTGCTTTTATGGATGTTTTTTTTTTTTTTTTTTTTTTTTTTTTTGAGCAGCAAGTCTAAGGGATTGATGGATATTTACATTTACTTTTTGTTTGTTTGCTTGTTCTTCAACCTTTTAGATACATCTATATGGTTCAAACTAAAAATTATTACCATGTCCCCAAAATGTCTCAGGCGTTCTTCTGCCCAAATGCCCATTCAGAATCAAAGTAAAAAAGAAATTACATGCATTTCTACTTGCTTTTAATTGAAATTCAATTTCCATAAACCTAAGGAAAATGTTAAAAGGCAACTCTGGAACAGGTGTGCGTCTTAATTTTCAACCTACTTATAATAACAGGTCTCATTCAATATACATTCAATGCACATTACATCATTCCATCTTTATAAAAAATCATGAAAAATAGTATCAAAGTCTTAGAAAAGTATATTTTTTCTTTGCAAATGTATAGACTAACTTATCATACAAATCCCCTCCCTATATCTGGTGTGTTTCCTCTTAAAATGTTTTCTCAAAAAGCCTTGTCTGTTATTTCAAGAAAAAAAAAAACTCTTCGTCAACTGATGTAAGATCATCCAAGCGAAGGATCATATTCACCTTAAAACTTATATTTATTCTACAGAAAAGTACATGAAATCATTTTGAGTCCAGAAACACTCCAACAACTATTCTTACTTAAGTGTTTAATATTAACCTCATACACCCTAGCTAGAGAACAAAAAACTAAACCGTCACGGCTTCATTCACCCATATCATCTTTTCTTTACCAAGTCCCCCATTGAGTTGACAAGAGCACACTTTTGTCATTCAAGCATGGCCTCTTGAGAATGAAAAGGTGCCAGTGCTTGGGGAGACACTATGGTGTGGATATATAACAATATCAGTGTCTTGGTTTTATTGTAGGGAACCGTGACATATCAAATTGTACCATCATAGTTTGAGAAGCTAGATGGAAAATAGGGAAAACAAATATTGTACTTAAGTCTACAAGAAGCAAAAACAGTTTTGCGTGAAGTTTAAATTTGTAATGAGGGCTCAATGTCTTCTCTAAACCCTTTAATCTTTTTTTAAAGTCCTGGCAGAGGTTTATTATGAAGATCTATCTAAGTATATATCTCTAACTTGTACATCTTATAAATACCTACATAAATCAACTTTCTGATCACAAAATGAACAATAGTGAATTTATTGTAAGTTAATCAAGTAACTGGATATTTTTTTTTTTAGTTTTTCAGTCCAGTTGACAAAAGTTTAAAATCTCTCATCAAAATGCTAGCAGTACATTATCAAACCTACCTTAATCTTCAAACAGTGGCTACAAGTTTTAACTGCTGATAACTCTCCACTACGAAGAACACAAACACAAACGGTCAATAGCTCAGTAACCTATTCAGTTGCCCTTTGAAAATTTCAGCCTACACTTGATCATAAAGACAGCACCCTCTAACTGAATACATATTCTTTATTCTATAAACACAACAGACATTTTTGTAGATCTCCAATACACGTTCCCTAAAACAACCCCCCCCCCCCCCCAGGGCCTTGCCTGAAGACCTAGCCTGTCCATGAAACTGCGATCCGACAAAATTTGTTTTTTCATGATGTTAAGATAATATTTAACCATCACTAGTATTTAATTAATGGGTCTTAGGGTCAAGATGTTTTAATGCTTTGAATTAAGACTTGTAACCTATACCTAGCAGGTAAACTATACTGATATGTCATAATACTAGTACATTAATTTAGTATTAAAGTTATGCCAAATTACAGATATCAAAGCTGGTCTAGTATATATTTTAAGTTTATTTTGTAAATATACGGTCAGCTACTAACTCCCAAGTACTGGCCACTTTTTGCTGCTTTTGGGCAGTTGTTTTGTAGACACTAGTGTCCTAAAAATGTTGAGTACCTGATCTTAATGCCTAGTTTCTACCTAGTTTTAATTTAAAT